CCGTTCTTAATCTTCTTCTGGTTTCCTGACTGTAGTTCCCATTTCTGTTTCCAATTATTCTTTACCTCTTTCTTCCCATGAAGATTTAACATTGGCTGCAGCCCAACAACATCTTGAGTGTTACAACTGTCTCATGCCAATTTTAAGGGATAATTTGCTAATTGTTTATTTGGTTATTGTTGTTGATGATGATGATGTGTGCCTTCAAGTTGATCCTAAAGTGAATCTATCACAGGGTTTTCTTGACAAAATTTGTTCAGAAGTGATTTGTCTTTGGCTTCTTCTGAGGCTGAGAGAGTTAGAGTTGCCCAAGGTCACCCATTGGCTTTCAGTGGCTGAGCATGGATTCAAACCCTGGTCTTCAGAGTTTTAGTCTAATGCTCAAACCTCTAAGCTACAATGGCTCCTTAAATTCACTTGTTTTTCCCTCATCCCTGAAGTTGCTCTTATCCTTGAATATCCTTAATATTATCTATATAACCTTATTATAATGTTTATTTCAGTCACCTAATCCATTAAAACCAAGACAGGCACTTGACAGCTACATTTGTGGATATCCAAATTTATTATGATTGCTGTGCATGAGCAGAGGTTCCAATGTATTATGTATGCTTGCTTTTGAGGCCCTGACCATCAAAGCCCATGTTCTTAGGGAAGCTTTGCTAAAGTTAATTGCATTTAAATTGAAGCTGAAATTACTTTTTTGAAGGTAAATCTACATGGCCAATACCAATATTTATATATTAACCACCATCAATTTTTCCTAAATCCTCTGTAGAGCTATTTTCTTCCACTTCTTTTTGAACTGGGGATGTCATTCAGCCAAACATAGCTGGTAGGAACAGCACTGTGTTGTGACTACCAACCTTCATATGAACATAGTAGTTTAGTAGATTAAAAGAAGCATCTTTTATTAATGCTAGTATTAGGAAATAAATCTATAGGATCCTATAGTGCAGCAGGAGACACCACATCTCCCCCACCCAAGCAGAACCAGAAACTATTGCTGCCTGAGGAAAAGGATAAGATGGTGCCTTTACTTGGCAGCACTTCACACATATAAAAGCTAAGCAGAATGGCTGTTGAAGCTTATTTCAGTATTGGAAAATAAACAGCATCGTCCACCATACCTGAAGGCAACAGAGTACCTTCAGGAACACAATCATTCTTCATAGGGCATGGTTTCCCAACCACCTTTCACCATTTTGGTTGCCCTCCTCTGGACATGCTCCAACTTGTCAATATCCTTTTTCTGAATTGTAGTGCCCAGAACTGGATACATATTCCAGGTGAGGCCTGACCAAAGCAGAATAGAGTGATACTATTACTTCCCTTGATCTAGATCCTTGTTATTTCTGAGCTTGGTGGCAATCCTCACAGTAGCTAACAGAACAGAAAGGGATAAATTTTCCACCAACCATATAAACCATAATCATTGTTGTGGACTGAGAGGGCACATAATATTCACAATGATTTGTTTTCGAATCAGAAAATGCTTTTTCTCACAGTTGGAAAGCATTGTCTGGAAGAATATTGGTGCAGCAAGACTTCTGCATCATTTTGTCTGGTTTTCAAACATCCCAAAGTACTGTGCAGCAATTATCCTGCAGAGAAATACACTTGGGAATTTTGCACCAAAAAGTGGTCGAGATTTCTGTGCAGATAACAGGTTCCTCCATGAACACTGCAACATTTTTTAATTTTTTTTGCACACAAAAAGTTTTTTGCCCAAAAAAATGAGCATCTCTCTGAAGAATACTCTGAAACACTTCAGAATGTTTGAATACAGGGAGAATTTGTTGTTCCTGCTGCTGCTGTTGTCCATGCTGCAGTGTGTCTTCAAGTCATTTCCAACCTGTGGCAACTCAAGATTTGTTCAGAGGGGTTTGTCATTGCCTTCTTCCAGGGCTGAGAGGGTGAGACTTGCCCAAAGTGGGTTCCATGGCTGAGCATGTATTTGAATCCTGGTCTCCCAGATGCCAAGTCCAACATTCAAACCAAGAAACCATCCTATCTCTTATGGGGAGAATATTGTGAGGAAATAGTAGAAGAAAACTGCAAACATATTTATCTTTCAATATGAGGATAAAATTACATCCTACTGTGGGTTACCCTTGTTAATTTGCAAAGTATTATAGGCAATTGATTTAGTCTTGAATGGCCAATTAAGACTTGACACAGTACCTATTTCTGGTGGAGATGAACATCCCATGAACTGGATAACTGAAGTGAATCAATGCAGCTGCCTGAATTTTGGGATTCTCCTTTGGAGGATGGCTATGGGTGCTGTTACAATAAGTGCAAGCATTTCAGAATTTACCACCTCACCATGATCTTGACTCAATTGAAGGGATTCATAAGCTCAGTTCAGCAGGCCCAAACACCACTAGAAAAGTCCATTAGAAATAATATTGGGAATTGCTCTATGTAGGCAGTGAGGACAAAATCAGTTCTCCCTTTGTAAATTTCTAATAAATAATTGGTACTTTCCCAAATGCTCTTGTTTGAAGGTTGTTCTCTATAGAGAAATCCAGCTGTCTCTTTGGGAAAAGCCCTCACATTAATCTTTAATTTCTTATTTAGATGTTCATAAACTTTTCAGCCATGATTAATTATGCTATTTTCTTCTCCCCAGTTTGCAGTAGAGATGATAGAAAGAGTCCTCCAGTTGTATGGCCCAACCAGGTGACCCTTCCTATCTTATCACAGTGTGCAATTAGAGATAGGAACCATCTATTATGTAACAGGCAGGGAATATCTAGTAGATAGGGAATACCTCCTTTTTCTTCCATTGTCCTTATCAGTTGTCTTTGATGGGGCAACCTAATAAAGTCTTCTTCTCTTTGATATATTCTGAGGAAAGGAAGGATTGTACTGTAGTTCAGCAGAGAACATGCACTATACATACAGGACCTGAATCAGATGTGACACTCACAGACAGAGCAATGGAGGAAGAAGATGCCAACTAATAACACTCAGCTGCAGCTGAGAAGAGGGAGAGTCTGAGGCCCAGCAAGAGCATCGGCAGCCTTAAAACTGCCCCAGAACACCACCAGCCTCTCAGCAGCAGTGGCAACAGCACTCAGCCACAGTGTTTATCAACAAGGACAACCACAGTAGCAGCACAGTTGGGAGGGTTATGTGGCTCTATTGACTCCTCCACCAGTTGAGGCCGGGAATGGTTGGGGGGCAGAAATCAGAGTTGTTCAGGGGAAAGGGAGATATGGTTGGAACGGAGTGAATAGATGCTACAAAAGAAGGCAGGATCACTGTTTGAAAGCTATCCTGCCTTCAGTTCACTCTGTTTCCCAGAATGGATTGGAGAGTGTACCAACCATTCCACAGAGGCTTACTTTGCTCCTCTGCAATGCCAGGTCGGTTAAAAATAAGACTCATATTATTTACAATCTTCTTCTGGGTGAGGATGCCGATCTGGCTGGGAGAGGATAGTGCCATAACCTGGTTGCATGCCCTCCCAGC